GGTGTTCTACCCATTTAGTTTCAATTTTTTTTTCCAATATTTTGACTATTATACTTGTCAATGATACAGGTCTATAATTGAGGGGGTCTTCCATGCTGCCATTTTTGTAGAATGGTACTATGTTATCCTTTTTCCTCACATCTGCTACGACTCCTGTAAACAAGGATGCCTGAAAAATCAGCTAAAGTGGAATACTGAGCTCAGGTGCACATTCTCTCTGAACCCATGGCAAAACTCCATCTGGGCCAACTGCTTTGTTCTTACTTAGCTCCTTGGGCATTTTTTTCCCCCCTTCATCTCCAGACATGCCTATGTGCCTATGTTGTTCTCTGGAATTCTTATTGTGTCTGGTTCTCTGAAGATTTAATTTTGTACAAACACACTTTGGAACTTTTCGTTTATTGTTTCACACATTTCTTCTTCATTTTCCCGTGAATCTTTTTCCCCATTTTCATGCTCTGAATATTATCCTTTACCTGAAATTTGTTGTTGATGAATTTATAGAATAGGCCTGGTTCTGTTTTAAATTTGTCCACTATCTCTTTCTCAAAATTTCTTTCTGCATCTCCCCTCATTGCCGTGTAGTTGTTTCTCGCATTTTTTTTATCGCTGGTATGTTTGGCGGTTTGGCCTCTTCCTATATTGATTCCATTTTTAGACATTTGGTCTCTGGCCCTCTCAAAATTTCTGCCGAACCAATCCTGTTTCCTAGTTCTGCATCTCTGCTTTGATATAATTTTTGTTGTGCCTTTATCACATACTGTACAGTGGAATTTTTTTTTGTTTTTGAAAATGTTAAATACTCTTCCCTGATCACAGACATGTAAAAAAAGGGTCCGGAAAATGACGTGTGACATCACGATTTGGTCGTCGCCCATGGCATAGACTCCTGGAGCCAGTCGCGCACCAACTTCGACATGCGCAAGCTGCCACAAATAATTTTTTGTTCATTTTTTGCGTACATTTCCAAATACATTTGTTTTGTTTTTTCTTGCCAATCCTATGTATAATGAACATGTACACAATATTATGGCAGTAGAACATCCATACTGTCTCAAGACACTGGGTTAAATGTGTGCACATATAATGCTCATATTTCCAATGTTTCATGTTCATTTATGTATATTTACAACATATTTACACACTATATACATTCCCCATCAACACACTCAGAACTCAGCGAATATGAGCTGCCACACCCAGTCAGCCCTTTCTCACTCCTCCAACACTTTACTTACCAACATTCCTCCTCCCACCATACTGTTATTGTTTTTATTACACTATTTACACACGTATATACGTGTCTACATGTTTTATTCGCCATAACTATACAACTAAGCTGGTATCATGTCCAAACAGTACAGTGGCCACCATACACTGCACGACAAGTCACACAGCAGACGACGATGCTACAAGTACAATGCCACCTCCCTCACCAAAATGGCTCATCCCAACATATTCCTGTTGCTGTTATTACACTATATACACACATTGTATATATCCATGTACATTTGTGTTCACCATAGCAAACCACTAAGCTAGTATGGTGAGAAAAACAAGAGTGGCTGCCACACACAGTGATGCTACCTCAATTTCCTCCCTCCCTCACCAAAATTCCTTCTCCCACAATACTACGCACAGCGCTAATTATCACTACAATCCTGCTATTATCACAATCCTGGTCACTAAATCATGTAAATGAATAATTGACCATGAGCTTATGTTGTAAAGGAACATAATAAGTCGTTTGAAGGTTCCTAGATGGTCGAAATAGTGCTGTGGCTAGCGCTGTGAACATCTTGAACAGCATTGTTTCACTGATATTTGAATATTGTACACAGTCATTATGACACTCAGGTTCTTCTGTAATACTATCATGGCTAAATAATACCAGTAACATACAGTATATATTTTGACATTATTAGGCGATGCTGTGGTCACAGGCTGAACAGCAGTGCTGTGAGCTCATGCTGCGTGAGACAGCCTTGGTTGCTCACTCAGTACTGAGGCTCTCACACCTGGGAATGTTGCCCACGTTTTAAAAAAAAATGGCGTCTGTTTACAAGAACCCGGAGGACGCTGATGTGAACCCCATGTAGCCGCAGGAGTTTTGAATCATACGCTATACCTATAAGATCCCTGAGGTGTGTTGCGCATCAGCGAGTAACGGTCAACCATATAAAATCTAGTCCAAGTGCAGTTAAAAGCTCTGTACCTCAGGGTACAGTCCTTGCACCGCTCCTTTCCTTATTCTCATATCAGATATAGACAAAAATACAAGTCACAGCTTCGTATCATCCTTTGCAGATGACACAAACATTAGTATGAAAATTACCTCTGCTGAAGACATTGAAAAACTTCAAGTGGATATTAATAAAGTTTTTGATTGGGCATCAGAAAATAACATGATGTTTAACAGTTCCAGGTACTCAGGTACGGTAAAAATGAGGACCTTAAACATAATACAGGGTACAAAACACAATCAAATGTACCCATAGTAGGAAAACAGCATGTAAAGGATTTGGGAATAATGATGTCTTGGTTAGAGAGCATAACCAAGCAAATATTGCGACAGCCAGAAAAATGATAGGATGGATTACGAGAACTTTCAAATCCAGGGATCCCATCACAATGGTTGTACTCTTCAAGTCACTTGTGTTGTCCCGTCTTGAGTACTGCTCAGTACTCGCTTCCCCCTTCAGAGCAGGAGAGATTGCTGAAATAGAGGGAATACAGAGAACATATACGGCACGCATAGACACGATAAAGCACCTAAATTATTGGGATTGTCTCAAAGCCCTCCAAATGTACTCACTAGAAAGAAAACGTGAGAGATATCAAATAATATACACCTGGAAGATACTGGAGGGCCAAGTACTAAATCTACACAGTAAAATAACAACGTACTGGAGTGAACGATATGGAAGAAAATGCAGAATAGAACCAGTGAAGAGCAGAGGTGCCATAGGCACAATCAGAGAACACTGTATAAACATCAGAGGTCCACGGTTGTTCAACACCCTCCCAGCGAGCATAAGAAATATTGCCGGAACAACCGTGGACATCTTCAAGAGGAAACTAGATTTATTCCTCCAAGGAGTGCCGGACCAACCGGGCTGTGGTGGGTATGTGGGCCTGCGGGCCGCTCCAAGCAACAGCCTGGTGGACCAAACTCTCACAAGTCGAGCCTGGCCTCGGACCGGGCTTGGGGAGTAGAAGAACTCCCAGAACCCCATCAAGCAGGTTTCACTTTTACCCAAGGGAGGAAGATACTGAATGTCAAATATCTCTATCTCTTTCCTGGTAAATATTAAATCCAGCATGGAGGGAACATCCACTTTCCTCATCCTCGTAGCTTGTTTAACATGTCCAAACATGAATGTTTCCAGGATGAGGTTTATGAATCTACAAGTTCTCTGTTCTAGCTTCATATGCTTCCCAGTCTATGGATTTCAAGTTGAAGTCGCCGACTACCAACAGGTGTGATCTATCTTTATCAGCTTTCACTATAGTATCTCTCATTGTTATAAGACCCTCTCATTTATTATCCAGCTCCTCCTTTGACCATGTGTAGCATGGCGGTGGACATTTATGATGCATTTATGATCATTAGTTTATCATCCTGATTGCAGATTTCTTGTGCTCTTGTGTCAATGGCAGACGTAGAATGCTCCCAACCACACGGGGGTTTCCATAGGCCATTGCTCCTCGTGCCTCATCTGAGGGAGCCAGGTTCTGACTCTTAGTCCACAGTAGGCCGAACTCCATGCACGTTGATAATATCCATGTCAGCCTGGATAGCTATGGGTAGCCACTGGGACTCACCCAGAAAATGGTGTTTCTTTACATTCAACGCTGGTGGTTTTGTTTTTTTAACATAAAAGTTCTTATTATATATCACACCCTGGGTCCCAAGAAAGTCAGTGGTAAAGTTCAACCTAAGAAAACAGTGGTGAGAAAGATGACAGTAAAAACAAGAGATCATTCTTAGTGAATGAATGTGATGTCTCACTACATAAGTGTTAAAACGTAGGGAATAAAAAGTGTCTTTAGACGATTCTCAGTAAGACAAGCACGCAGTGAGCTACAACCAGGTCCTAGTGGTATGCCTGCAAAACGTGAGAGAGAGAGAGTACCCCAGAAATGTCATCACTCTGGGAATGTCATCTGGGAACGGATTACGATCGTAAATAAAGGTACCACTATACACGTAATTTTATAAACGTTTTGTTTTACTATTTTCAATTGTACTTTACCTTATGTAGAGTCGTTGCTGGCTTGAGGGAGACAACGAGGAGGTGGGGAGATGGAGGAGAGGGGTTACGGTGTGGAAGGAGAAACCACCTCAGGGTCAGGCGGGCGCGCTCTTGTGAATTTCACCCTACTGGGACCGGATTGTGGTTCACTATCCCTTGCTTATCAATTTTCTTCCTCTTGACAACACTATCTTTAGCAAGCAGCTTTTTTGGCGACATCGTGGGTTACAAATCGTAGTCACAAAACCACACACAAAAAAAGTCCAAAACCAAAGTTGTCGGAGGCGTTTGAGAATTTGTGAGAACCAGTGGGAGTGCTAGGAAGCCCCACACAGTTTTCTCGTTAACCAAGCGGAAGCTCGTCAATTGAGACAAATTTTCTGCGAGTGGCTCGCTCGTTACCTAAAATGCTCATAGATGGGGCTGCTCATCACCTGAGGTTCCTCTGTATATGATTCGTAAGCCTGGTGTGGATTGAATTTGGTGGAGCTTGCTAGGCAGCAAGCATCAAGGAATAACAACAACCCACCAGAAAAGAGAGCTTCATTATATTCATTGCTGGTTTTGTTTTATTCCACTGTTCTTATGATGTGGCAATGCAATGGTCTTCGGCAAATAAATGTTATCTATTTGTAAAGGACATTTTTGATTGCCGTTTTGTACGTTTTAATCTTTGTATGTCGTGCATATACATTACTCACTCATTTTTGCTGTGAATGTCCTTTCATTTCACTTATTCTCTACTTTTCAGTCTTCACCATGAACACAGAATCCGCCACAGTAACATCCCCTGGCTGGATCCGGCCAGACGATGTGATGCGTGTTAGGAAATTGAAGGTGAGGCGTAAAGCACTGCAGGCCCGCATGATAAGTTCGTCGGCCCCTCTGCAGACCCTGGCTCCTGTCAATGGCAATATTAACGCATCTAATGGTCATGGGTTAAAGCGAAGAAATCCATTCAAGTAAGTTATATTTTTATGTTATTTATTTTAATTTATATTTAACCCCTTAACTGCGTTGCCTCCAAATGTGACACCCCCGCAGTGCGCAGGAAATAAATTCTCTGGAAAAAATTCTTTTTTCTTTTCAAAGTGTCAAAAACCCTTCCCTCAGTATGGGTATGTAAAAAAAAAGTCGAAATTGTACTTACTTTGGCTGCTATGGGGTCCGGAAGTTGGGGCGTGACGTCATCATTCCCCGTGCGCCCGTGCCGTAAGCTCTCGGGGGCGGTGGGGCGGTCGGGGTGGGGCACGCGAGTTGCCGCGAATATATTTTCGTTCATTTTTTGCGCACCTTTCCAAATACATTTTCATTGTTTTAATGTGCCAATCCAATGTATAATGAACACGTACACTATAATATCTCAGTACAACATCCGTACTGTCCGTAGACACTGTGTTACGTGCATGAAACTGGTGTACACATATGCAGCACATATTTACTATGTATCATGCTAATTTGTGTATATATACAATCTATTTACACACTATACACTGTCACACACTATATACATTTACCATCAACACATTCAGAACACCGCGTAGCAGCTGCTTTGTATGGGCCAATATCAGCTGCCCCGTATGGGCGAATAGCAGCTGCCTCGTATGGGCCAATAGCAGCTGCCCCGTATGGGCCAATAGCAGCTGCCCCGTATGGGCCAATAGCAGCTGCCCCGTATGGGCCAATAGCAGCTGCCTCGTATGGGCCAATAGCAGCTGCCCCGTATGGGCAAATAGCAGCTGCCCCATATGGGCCAATATCAGCTGCCTCGTATGGGCCAATAGCAGCTGCCTCATATGGGCCAATAGCAGCTGCCCCGTATGGGCCAATAGCAGCTGCCCCGTATGGGCCAATAGCAGCTGCCTCGTATGGGCCAATAGCAGCTGCCTCGTATGGGCCAATATCAGCTGCCTCGTATGGGCCAATATCAGCTGCCTCATATGGGCCAATAGCAGCTGCCTCATATGGGCCAATAGCAGCTGCCCCGTATGGGCCAATAGCAGCTGCCCCGTATGGGCCAATAGCAGCTGCCTCGTATGGGACAATATCAGCTGCCTCGTATGGGCCAATAGCAGCTGCCTCATATGGGCCAATAGCAGCTGCCCCATATGAGCCAATATCTGCTGCCTCGTATGCGCCAATAGCAGCTGCCTCGTATGGGCCAATAGCAGCTGCCGCATATGGGCCAATAGGAGCTGCTTCGTATGGGCCAATAGGAGCTGCTTCGTATGGGCCAATAGGAGCTGCTTCATATGGGCCAATAGGAGCATTTGGCCATGAACATGTAGCGAGTAGATTATCCCAATAATATACTCGCTCCAAATGCATTGTTAATATTCCTGTCAACCTTTGGAGATGAATGAGGTGAGGCGTTGCCCGAGCATATAAGCAGCAGAATAGCAAACATTAACTAGTCTACTTTCAAGTGTGGTCTAGAGCAGACACTTGCGAGATACTGTACCGACACTCAGTGTGCTCAACTCACACCAAAGTATCACCTGTGTACTTCTGTATATTCGACCAAATATATATATAGTATCTTAGTGTCTGTGTTTATTTGTCACCATACTTTACGTAACAATAGAACCGTTACAAACACATTCAGAACACCTCAAGTGAGAGCAGCCACACCCAGCCTGTCTCCCTTACTCCAACATCTTACTCGCCAACACTGCTCCTCCCACCATACTGTTATAGTTCTTATTACACATGTTCTATATACCTATCTACATGTTTTATTTACCAGAACTATGCAAGTAAGCCGGTATTGTGTCCAAACAGTACAGTGGCCACCATACACTGCATGAAAAATCACACAGCAGACGACGCTACGATTACGTCACCTCCCTCACCAAAATAGCTCCTCTCAACATTCTCCTGTTGCTGTTCTTACACTATATACACACACTATATATACCCATGTACATATGTGTTGCCCATAGCGAACCACTAAGCTAGTATGGTGAGCAAAACAAGAGTGGCAGCCACACACACACACACAATGAGGCTACCTCAATTCTCGCCCTCCCTCCCTCATCAAAATTCCTCCTTCCACAATACTACGCACAATGCTAATTACAGTGCTTCCTCAGACTAACGAACCCCGCTCTATCGAATTCCCGGAAGAGCCGAACAAATTGAATTCGGTACCAAATGTTCAGTGGAACATACAAATGTTCGATTAAGTGAGGAATGTTCGTCCAAGCGGTCACCGAGGCCGAGCGTCAGAGCTGGCTGTCATCAACTATGATTCGCCAGAGTGTAAACAGTTATGTAGTGTTTTATCCCTACCCATTGTTTCTAGGGAGAAATGGTGATAAAAATTGTGATAAAATGGTGTCAGGGGGGCATTGGTGAGAGAGTTGTTGTCAGGAGGCAACACGTGCTCCCCCGCCCCCACCCTCCTTCCTCCACCTGACCACAGAGACCACTCACTCTCCTCTCGTCGTCAGATGCCAAGAGTCAATTTAATGATAATTATCGCATTATCTACACTGAAAATAGCCTTTTTATTAGAAAAATGTCATATTGGAGCAATAATAATGGTGAAAATTGTAATATATACAGTACATATTTTAAACAGTTTGAACACATTTCCTTTTCACAGAATTTTTAATACAATTGGGGTGTAGATAACAGCTGGCATTGTGTGGCCGGCCGGTCGCTCCCTGAGCCATTGGGGGGGGGGGGGGGGTGGGGGGGGGGGGGGTTGTTTCCTGGATCCCTCCCTCCCTCCCTCTAACAGCCTACGTACTGTACTAATACCTATAAATTTTGAGGAGGCCAATAAAACAAGCACAGGTCGTGTGAACGTTAGGCCTTGGTGAGGTGGCTGGCATCATTTGTGGTGGTGTCTGGGGAGGCAGGCGGTGTCAGGGGAGGCAGGTGGGGTCAGGGGAGGCAGGTGGTGTCAGGGGAGGCAGGTGGTGTCAGAGGAGGCAAGCGGTGTCATGGGAGGCAGGTGGGGTCAAGGGAGGCAGATGGTGTCAGGGGAGGCAGGCGGTGTCAGGGGTGGCAGGTGGGGTCAGGGGAGGCAGGTGGTGTCAGGGGAGGCAGGCGGTGTCAGGGGTGGCAGGTGGGGTCAGGGGAGGCAGGTGGTGTCAGGGGAGGCACATGGGGTCAGGGGAGGCAGGTGGGGTCAGGGGAGGCAGGTGGGGTCAGGGGAGGCAGGTGGGGTCAGGGGAGGCAGGTGGGGTCAGGGGAGGCAGGTGGTGTCAGAGGAGGCAGGCGGTGTCATGCGAGGCAGGTGGGGTCAGGGGAGGCAGGTGGTGTCAGGGGAGGCAGGTGGTGTCAGGGGAGGCAGGTGGGGTCAAGGGAGGCAGGTGGGGTCAGGGGAGGCAGGCGGTGTCAGGGGAGGCAGGTGGTGGAAAGAGGCAGGTGGTGTCAGGGGAGGCAGGTGGGGTCAGGGGAGGCAAGCGGTGTCAGGGAAGGCAGGTGGGGTCAGGGGAGGCAGGTGGTGGAAAGAGGCAGGTGGTGTCAGGGGAGGCAGGTGGGGTCAGGGGAGGCAGGCGGTGTCAGGGGAGGCAGGTGGGGTCAGGGGAGGCAGGTGGGGTCAGGGGTATCAGGTTGGGTCAGGGGAGGCAGGTGGGGTCAGGGGAGGCAGGTGGGGTCAGGGGAGGCAGGTGGTGTCAGGGGAGGCAGGTGGGGTCAGGGTAGGCAGGTGGGGTCAGGGTAGGCAGGTGGGGTCAGGGTAGGCAGGTGGGGTCAGGGGAGGCAGGCGGTGTCAGGGGAGGCAGGTGGTGTCAGGGGAGGCAGGTGGTGGAAAGAGGCAGGTGGGGTCAGTGGTGGAAGGTGTTGTCAGGGGAGGTGGAAGTGGAGAGAGAAGGGGTGGTGACCACGCATGGCTGCCAAACCTCTCATTCATACTCTATTATAAATTTCAATCTTAGCTGTAAAATATTTATGCCAAAATATGTTAATTTTCGTGTATTAATATACATTATTAATCATTAACACGTTTTATTGTTTCCTGAAGAAAACAATAGCTGACTTGGCATTGTGGTGTGTATGGCCGGGTACCTGGGGGGTGGGGGGGGGGGGTCCTGGAGGTGTGAGAGGAGACCTGTCAACCCATCATTTTTTTTTTGTCGGGCGAGTTGAGACGCTTCCAAGCCTGCTGCTTCAATACACGGTGTGGGTGGTGTGGTGTGGTATGGTTTGGGTGGTGTGGTTCGGGTGTGGGTGGGTTGGTGTGGTTGGGTGTGGGGGGATGATGTGGGGTGTGTGGGGGATGATGTGGGTGGTGGGGGTGAATGGTGTTAGTGGTGTGGGGGATGGTGTGGGTGGTGTGGGGGATGGTGTGGGTGGTGTGGGGGATGGTGTGGGTGGTGTGGAGGATGGTGTGGGTGGTGTGGAGGGTGGTGTGGGGGATGGTGTGGGTGGTGTGTGGGTGGTGTGGGGGATGGTGTGGGTGGTGTGGGGGATGGTGTGGGTGGTGTGGGGGATGGTGTGGGTGGTGTGGGGGATGGTGTGGAGGATGGTGTGGGGATGGTGTGGGGATGGTATGGGTGGTGTGGGGGATGGTATGGGTGGTGTGGGGATGGTATGGGTGGTGTGGAGGATGGTGTGGGTGGTGTGGAGGATGGTGTGGGTGGTGTGGAGGATGATGTGGGTGGTGTGGAGGATGGTGTGGGTGGTGTGGAGGATGGTGTGGGTGGTGTGGGGGATGGTGTGGGTGGTGTGGGGGATGGTGTGGGGATGGTGTGGGTGGTGTGGAGGATGGTGTGGAGGATGGTGTGGGTGGTGTGGAGGATGGTGTGGGTGGTGTGGAGGATGGTGTGGGTGGTGTGGAGGATGGTGTGGGTGGTGTGGAGGATGGTGTGAGTGGGGTGGGGGATGGTGATTCTCGCATCTCAGATTATTATTGACACCAAAAGAGCATGAAAGATATTATAATGAAGCACCACACAACAAAGAAACAAACTAATGTGTCCTGGCATATGTTTAAAAAAAAAAAAAAAAA